AGTGTCACTGGCCCTCATATGTGGGATCCGAACCGGGGCCCTCTGGCATCCCAAGCCAGTTCTTAACCAACGCGCCACTCGGCCGGCCCTCTATGGCTATTTTATGCTCTGATATAACTAAGTCGCTTTCAAAAATATAGAGGTCAAAATTTAAATCTCAAGGCCTGAAATAATAACTCTGGAAAGGTCTGTATAACTCTTTGGTAACTATAAAACAGATCTCCAGTAAACGTGACCTGCTCTCTGGGGGCTCCCAGGGCAGGATTTATGGTTCCAAAAGTTACTGTGGAGGTTACATCAATTCATCATACAGCATGGAGAGTTTCATAATATTCAGAATTTCCTTAAAGAGAGATAATATAAAATTTATCATTTATCATTCAGAAAAAGAAAATGTTCACTCATATCCATTGGTTAGTAATGGAAAACATTCTCTTTAATCATTTGTCTATACTACCTCCATGTATTTGAGGAGCAGCCAATGAGGAAGTCATATGTAACACATGTGATTTGGTATCAAAAGACCCAAGGTTAAATCTCAATACTACCCCTCCCTAGCCATGTGACCTTGAGTAAATAACTTATTCTCTCTAAGCCTCCTCATCTATAATATGGGAACAATACCTGCCTTGTCTACCTCATTGAATTGCTACATAGATTAAATAGAATGTAGGAAAAAGCATAGTGAAAGCTTAATTCTAAAGTAATAGTACCAATCATGATTAATATTATATTATAATGTAGCATACTAATTATTAATACTTATAAGAGAAAATATGAGAAAGGACTGCTCTGCTTACATTAGTATTCTGCATGTCTAGTCTCAGTATGGAATTAATGGTTTGCAGGGAAGGATAGGGGACAGCTTCTCTCCCTCTACATCTTCAGAGCATCGCTTTACATTATTTTAGTTAATTCAAACAGTAGACGTACATTCAAAGGTAAGTACACAAAGCCAAATATAAATGTTTGGGAATTATTTCACTTTGAATTATACATCCCTCCACTGGAGCATAGTCAAGAATTGACTTCACATAAAGTCAGAGAAAACAGATGAACATAAGGCAAACAGGGAAAAAAAAATTTGCAGCCAGATGTTTTCTCACTTAAAACAGAAATGTTATTCAGGAGCAGAACTTGCTTCTCTGAGTAATACCAGCTTCAACTATGGCATTCAAGACACTATGACAGATGCTGGAGAT